TTAATCGAATATTTTAATAGAGAATATAAGAAGTAATAAAAACCGTAATAAAAAAAGAAAGAAAAAGGGTAGTAAATATTAATTTTAAATTTTTCTAATTTTTCTTTAATATTTTATACTTTTATTTATTTTTAATCTCTATAACTTTTAACCGCTTTTTGAATAATTTAAAGCAAGCTATTAATTTTACTATAATAAATTTTTAGGAAGATAGTTCAATTAGGAAGATTTGGACTTAATTTACCTTACGGTTGTTTTTATAAAATCGTAGGTTCGAATCCCGCTCCCCTCTCTTTTATACGATCTTTTCTAATTCTTAGATCGAATAGAATTCTTCCCCTACCCTACGTACGTAATTAAATTTATAGGGCTTTCCCTAATTTAAAACTTTAAATACCCCGCCGAAAAGTAGATTCGGGTCGATTCTCCCTACTTCGAAAAATAATTATCCCGTTCGATAATACGATAATTCTTCCGCCTAATTAGAGTACGATTCCCTAATAATAAGTAAGGTAACGCTTACCCCTCGCCTCTACTAACCGGGGCCTTCGGACTAATTACGAAGAAAGTACGATAACGAAATTCGTAAGACCCTTTTACCCTCCCCTTCCCCGAAGCAGTACCCTAATGATAAAACGTATTTAATTAACGATAAGGACCGAGGGTAAGGGTAGAGGGGTTGAGAAGGATTAGAGGAAATCGGAAGGAAGGTTTGGGATTGAATAAAGATAAATATTAGATGTAAAGACGCGGGAGGTTTTCATCCGGTATTCGGCGATATACGGTTTTTCCGCCCGGCTTTGAACGACGAAGGACCGTATGCCTAAATAGGCGACTAGTTAGATTAGACAGTCAAGTGTGAATAAGATCATTATTATTATAATAAACTCCTTAAAAAGAAAGGTTGGGGTCGAGGGAATAGCCGGAATAATAAGAGCGGTAAGGGTCGGAAGAGGAGTAGTAACGTCGCTAGAGGCCGAAAAAAAATAACTATACTCCTATTTAAAAATTTCGGTTAACCGAAATTTATTTTACAGAAGCAAATGAAATAAAAGCAACTTACGCAAAAATAACATTATTTTTGTATAATTCGGTAGTATAATATTAAGTAATTATAATTATATAAACGTACCCGAAAACCTTCGTCTTTACTTTATTAGAAATCGCTATTTCCTAGATTACGGCGAATTTCTAAATTAAAGACGAAGCCTAATCGTAGTATTTATTATTATTATAATAGGCTATATACGCCTAATTTCCCGGTTTAATATAATATTCATACGGAATATTCAAATACAAAATATATAAGACTTTAGAAAGGTCACAATCCGCCTAAAGAATAAGTAAAGTCAATAACAATATTTTAAAATAAGAGCGATAAAGAAGATTTATTAGTAAATATTTAAATTTAATAAATTTAAATTTTTTTAAAATAGCGACGGGGTTTTTAATATACCTATAATAGGTAGCGGCCTCCTAAGAAAGGGATCAAGAGCCGCACTCAAATAGCGAGGACGAAACTTTACACTCAAATGGCTAAAATATGGACGGGGACGGCTCGGAGGAAATCAAAAAAAGTATGTACCTAAATTAGGAAAGGTAAGCGAAGAATTAGATAAGGGATAGTAATACTTACTTTGATAATTTAAACGACAATTAAAGAAAGAAAAAAGAGGAAAGGAAAAAAAGAGGGAAAAGAAGTTGGAAGAGGGGTTTTTATATATAATTCTAAAAGTACGTGTATACGTACGCTATTACCTACTACCTATTACCTTCGTCGGTCGAAATAGAAGGAGCGAACGTGTAGAAGGGCAGGAGGGGGGAAGAGGAAGGTAATATTATAAGGCCAAAGCCCGGGCTATAGCGCTCTAATTATCGACCAGAGCTATTATAAAGCGCCGTAGCTATATCCGTACAACCCCTATCAAAACTATACATCTCTAATAGAGCCGCCTCTTAAATAGAACTTTCCTTCTTTATAGAACTTTAATTAAACTATACAACCAACACTTATATTATCCGTGCTATCCCCGTTACAATAATAATAATATAAAGTTATAGAATTTTATAGGGATGATCTTCTTAAATTTAGCCTTTATTTTCAATTTTTTCGGCGCGAAGGCCTTCTTTAGGTTTTATATCGAAACTATTATAATTAGAACGACGTGATTTTTTAAAAATTATAAACGTAATTAATAAAATATATAGCCCCTACTATTATAATTATTTTTATTTCCGCTTCCTAAATATAAAGGGTACGTTAATTAATATAAAGGAGCCACTTACGGGTACTCCCGTACTAAAGCCTTTTTTAATAAAGAATAGAAAAAGATTTACTATAAGAAAGTTAAGGCTTTCCTAAAATCATTAGGTATTTTAATTAAAGTATTACATAAACGTTAATTAACTAATAGTAATTACTTATCTCTATAAAAAATATAATTATTTTACTAATTTCTATTCCTTCTCTAGCTCTAAAAGCCCCTTTAAATTACCGCGTTCCAATACTAATTTAAAGGAAGTATAGGTTTAATATAAGGGTTTTATTAATTACAGCGTAATGTTAGCATCCTTTATCTATTAGCATATACGACATTTTAATTTTAAATAATAATTATTATTTTTATTACTTCTACTTTTAATATTACTGTACTAATCGCTATTCGAATCGGTATAACCGTAGGGGATAGGGATAAAGGAATATAAATAATTATTATAGGGAGAGATTCAAAGTCCCGACGATAAACCGGAATTAGGCTTTTCCCTATTAAGAAGGAGCCGTTATATTATCTTCGCCCTCTTCGAATAAAGGGGCGTAAGTATTAGCGCTAATAATAATTAAAATAATAAAACTAATTTAAATATATATTCTATTTAAGTTAATAACTAGGGCGTACGGGTATTAAACTTATATATAACTACTTCCTCTATACTTTAAATAATAATTTTACTCCCTCCGCTTACGGTAATCTTTATCCGAAATCTATTTAGTACGCTACTTACCTATATTATTAATTAAGTAACGTTAATTCTAAGCTATTCGAATAATTATTATAATTATATCTCCGTCGGTATCCCAGAATACGACATTCAACCTTAAAAATCCAATAGCGCTAATAAACGTAGTAATAGTATATAATAAAGGGGTAGAACTATAATTATTAATATAAAATTAAAAACTTCTACTTCGTTTCTAAGCGAAATAAAGGGCTTGGCCGGGCCTAGTTTATTCGAAATTCTAAATAATAGCCTGTAAATACTTTATATATTCATTATATTCCAGAAATATAATAATAGAGACTATTTATTCTTTAATTTCTTTTAAAAGGGAGCCTTTTAATTAAGTAAAGCGAAAATCATTAGGCTAAATAGTACTACTGGCGGTAATAAATATTTATTTAAATTTAAGTATAAATTCGCCTAAAGGTTTATTAAAAGTTTAAACTATTTTACGTAATTAGGCTTAAGCTTTTTCTATTTTTTACTCACTATTAAAAACGTATATAAAGTATTCGAAAAAGTATTAGGGATTAAAAGTTCCGTTTAGGCTTCCCGCAATCTAGTAAATTTAAATACGCAATTATAGCTTTTCGAAGAGCGAATATAAAATTTAATACTACACTACTCTATCGTTACCAATAAAGCTATTAGGGCTATTAAACCTATATTTATAAATTAATTAGTTTATAAAAAAGTAGAACGAATTAGTATTTCCATTCTAAATAAGCTAATTAAATACTTTTCTTTTAACTTTTGCGATAGCGGCGGCTTATACTAGAATAACGGTAGGTACTATAATTTAACCGCAGAATAAAATATAATAAATATAGTTAATATTATAGTTAGCGAATTTAATACGAAGTACAACTACCTAATTAGCATTTTAGAATAGCCTAATTAAATAATCGAACGAGGGGGTAAAAAAGGGGGGAGCGCTTATATCAATATTCTTAGGGATAGGGAAGGGGGGATAAATATTAAATCCGCTAAAGAGAATATTAAAAGGGGGGAGCCCTCCAATATTCTACTAAGGGATCTACTAATTATTTTACGGGTTATTCTATTAATTATTCTATTGGGGGATCTACTAATTGTTATTCCATTAGTTATTCTATTAAGAGATCTACTAGTTATTCTACTAGTTATTCTATTAGTTATTCTACTAATTATTCTACTAGTTCTAATCATTAAGATCTATCTATTAGGGGGGACGTTCGCTATAGTAAAAGTAATATACTTTTATAAGAAGTCAATGTATAAGGTCGAACCTAATATTATAGTTCTTATACAATTGGCATAAGTACAAGGCAAAATATATATTGAAAAGGTTCGATGAAGAGAAGAAGAATCTAGATACATAGAAGGGAGAGTGGGCTGTACTCTTATATACGAGGACGTACGTAGTGACCGGGGGTTAACGGTGAGGGCGCATGTCTAGAAGGCTTCCAGACTGGAACCTCTGGGCGGCAGCCCCATGATAGCGGAAAAGCGGAGGAAGAGGGTATTCGAATTGCGGGAACCCGAGAAGCCCAATACGGGAACGGAGGTACCGAAAGGAGAATACAGAGTTCTAAGGAGGTCACTATAGGGAACAGGGCTGACTATAATTATAGAAGTATTTAAGGCAATTTTTTATAGGGGATTAAGGATTAAATTAATGGATTAACAGGGATTTTGATTATTTTATATATTATTAATTAATTATATGGCTTCTTTAATCCAGGGCAGTATTATAAGGTTAGCTTTGTGACTATTATTGTACGTAATTGGCCAATTACTATTTATATACGTTGTGCTGGACTGTAGCCGCTTTTGAGATTGTTGCTGTGACGGCGCTGGCGGACTGGGTCTGGGTGCCATGCACGAAGGTAGTTCACGAGGGTGCTAGAATAAGATATATAGAGGATTCCGGGCATGGTACGGTCCAGGGGATGCGAGCCCTTCAATTGGCCATACCAAGACCGGCTATAGGGTAGATCCTAGTACGTGCAGGGTTTACTATGCAAGTGAAGGGGATACGAATAAAGGGATTGGCTAATAGCGACCCGCATATAGGTCCCGCTATCGCTTATACGACTAGGGTATTTATTTAAGTCTATACGCTTATACCTAATTCTCTTCCTCTTTTCTTTTCCCTATCTAAAATCTTCTATTATAAATAGAATTTTAACTTTACCTTCAACTCACCTATACTATACTCTTATATTACTTCAAATTAACCCAACAACTACCTAGGAAGGTTAAATCCGAAACGAAACTAGAAAAATCTATTATAAGAATTTAAGGCACCGAATATTTACAACAACTATATAATAGCACTACTACGCCAAATACGCAATAGCATCGGTAGCTATAAAGGTACCGAATAGACCGAGAACCGCGACGATGATTGTTATAACGAGGATATCTCTAACGATAAACGTAACGATACCTTCTTCGGAAAGGAGGGTAGAAATAACGACGGAGAAAGAGGCTCTAACTCTTCCGATCCCGACCCTTCGTAAAAGGAGGATACGGTTATTAAACCGAAGCCTAAGAAAAAGGTTATTATTAACGATAAAAAATTTACTCTTAAGCGCTAAACTATCGATCCTATTATTAAAGATAACGCGTATAAGGCTATACGTTTTAATAAGGAGCGCTACAACGGCTTCTACCCCGATAAGGAATATTTTCGCGACAAATCTATAATCCTTCGTAAGAAGTCCCTATACTATGTATACTATCTATTGAAGCAACCCAACGAGGCATTGGCCGATGCGGTCGCCAATACGGGAGACGACGACGAGGAGCCCGAATTATCCTTTAACCTATTCGATTAGTATATTACGACGGCGGTCGAAAATATTAAGACTTTCGATACCCGCTTAACCAAGTACGAAGTTATTAACGATTTAAAGTAAAAGATAGAAGAATTCGTTGAATTATTCATCCGTAATTTAATCCCTAGTATCCCCTTCTAAACTTTGCTCCCCTCCTCTAATCTCCTATTTCCTGGTTACTTAATTAAAGAAAAGTTCGCTAAATTATATTATAGAAACCCCTAAGCTATATTCTAGGAATTTGAATTACTATTTATTATAAATATAATATAAAAAGAATAATATCGGAACTTTATTACCTCATTTCTTACTTAAATATTAAATTCAAAACTATTTACAACTAAGTCCCCGCTTTAGCAAATTAATACCGCGTTACTAGCCCTACTATAGTATAATAATTAAAAGATTCTTTTAATAAGAAGGAGGAAACTATCGAAGGATTAAAAGATTTTATTACCGACTTAAATATTAGTAAGGGAATAACTAAGAATAAGAATAAAGGAAAAGCTAAGGAGACGGTATTTCCTAGCATTGAAAAGGACGTTAGTAAGGCTCTCTTTAGGGCTTTTACCCGCTTCTCGACTTTACCCCCCGAAACCGACCCCGATAACAGAGAGCGCTCTAATAATTCCCGCTACCGTAGTACTAAATAAACCGACCCTACCAAATATTATTATTAAGATAAGGAAGACGATATCCCCTTCGAAGCTTAATACGATTTAATTTAAAATAAGTTCGAAATCAACGCCGACTACTACTTAACCAACTACAACAAATTTTTATACATTACAAATCGTTTAGCCGGCTATATTTATTACAATTTAATACCGTATTTACACGAAACCTACCTAAACTAAATTAAAATTTATTCGGGTTTAATAATTTATTTATAGCGTTAATACTATAATTTTAAATAAGAAGAGAACGCGCTCTAGAACCTTACTAAATTAAAGATGAAAGATAATAATAATTTCGATTTTTTTTAAAAATAAATTTATTTACATAGTTAGCGAATACTAACGTCTTAAAATTAAATAAAAACGAGAATTATTCTAATACCTTCCCGCCGAATATAAGAAATAAATAGGTATAAAGTATTATAATTTATCTATTTCCTTCGAATTTTACTTTATAGATTACTCCAATTTTAGACAAGTATTAAAAAGTATCGCCGACGAAAATAAAGTTGCTTCTAAGTCTAATAAAAATAATAATCCGGGTAGAAATAATAATAAGAATTCTAGCTTTAAATCCGCTCCTAAGCCTACTAATAGAGGAGGCAGAGGTGCCATTCGTTAAAGTAGTAACCGTTATAAGGAAACTACTCGACTATTTAACAAGGGTAGATATTTCCTCTATAAACAAAAAGGTTATACAAAACGCAATTATTCTGAGAAGGATCATTTCGACTACGAGCGTCGCGACTACGTTGCCGCCATTATTAACTATTATTTAGCTTACGAGAACGGATAGGAGGCTCTAACTACCCCGGCCATAATTCTAACTAACGAATAGGGAAATTAATTACTCTAAGTAAATTAAACTCCTTCCTAGGGGAAGTATCGGTTATAAAACAATAAAAAAAGGATAAATAAAAATATAAAGAAGGATTTAACTTAATACCCTTTTTAGGAAGGGAACCCTTATTTATTTAATATACTTTAATTAATAATAAAATGGTTTTATTTATATTTAATACTTCAATCGATATAGGAGCAAACGGTTATTTATTTATTAGTACCACTTTTGTTAAAAGATTAAAAAAACGACTATTGGTAGAATCTACGAATAATTTCCCGGCTCGAAGAATTAATAATTACCAAGGAAAAACAAACTAGAGTATTAAAGAAGTTATTAGAGCCGCTTTAAAAATTCAAAATCGAACTACGCCACCCAATTACTTTATTATAATTAATATAGTATACAATATTATTATCGGCCGGAAATAGCTCGACCTTTACAATATTTAAGTAAATTGTACAAACCGTCGTTTACTCTTTCCTCCGGAATAGAAGCCGGACCCCAATTAATTAAAACACTTCGAAGTTCGAAATATTATTCCCAATAAAGTGAACCCCGTCTACTAAAAGGATATAGACTACCGGAACCTATTAATAATTCAAAAAAATAAACAACGAATAAACAAGAGAAATAGCGGACGAATAACTATTTATTTTATAAACGGATATACCTCTACCGAACTTATCCTCAACGGCCAACCCTTCTTTAACTATTGTAAGAAAGAATTCGACTTTAAGGTACGAAATTAATATGGATGCGAAGCCCGTTAGTACTAGAAGGATATTGAGAAGCGTATCTTAGAGTTAGAGGCCGCTACCAACTAGGAATTTAAGACCGTCCCAATTATACCAGTAAACCTCTAGTACAATTACAACAATACCGACGAACTTAGCTACGCTAGACCGCGCTATCTTTTCTAGAACCCTACCGCGATCTTCAAAAAGTCCGACCTATTGAGCAAGATAGAACGTAACTTGGTTAACTTTATCTACTTTATAGTATTATTTCTAAAACTTAAGAAACCCTATTATTAAAAACAACTAATTGAAGGAAAATAGGGATTGGACGCCTAAAGTACTTACTAACTAAAGTATAACGGTATAGGTTAATATAAATACTGTCCTACTTAAATATATATATTAAATAGAAATGTCTTTACACAATCCGTTAAAAAATATAATTAGATTTTTTATTCGACTAGTATTTTCGAAATCGATCGATTTATTTAATAAAAACGAGTTATCGACGACCCCGCTTGGGAACCGCTCCCCCGCGATAAAAAAGAATTCTGCGACGAAGCCCTTCGTATAGTTCCTCCCGAATATTACAACGAAATCGAAGTCTAATATAAATATAATTCGAATATATTACCTAAATACTGCCTTACAATTTCAAGATCGAATTCGATAAAAGTTACCGTTTAAAAGAATTTAGGTATAACCCTCTATATAAAAGATCCTTTAATAAGCTAGACGCCGTACGAAAGTATATTTTGGAAAACCTATTGAAGGGATTTATTGAAGCGAGTTCGTTCCCTTGGGCGGTACCTATTTTATTCGTTAAGAAAGCGGATAGTAGCCTTCGTTTCTATATATATTACTAAAAGCTCAATATTATTACTTGTAAAGACCGCTACCTATTGCTGTTAATTGAAGAAACCCTCGCTAAAGTAGCTAAAGTATAATAGTATACGAAGATTAATATACGATAATTATTCTACTATATTCGTATAAGACCGGAAGACGAAGAGCTAATTATATTCTGTACTAGTATAGGGGCTTTTAAATATAAAGTATTGCCGTTTAGTCTTACTAACGGCCCGGCTAATTTCTAGAGTTTTATTACTTCGGTCTTAAGCGAGTATTTGGGCGACTTTTGTACGGTTTATATCAACAATATTCTTATCTACTTAATACCTTACAAGATTACCGATTTTACATTAAGAAGGTCTTTCGCCGACTAAAAGACGTTGGCCTCTAAGCCGATTTTAAGAAGTACGAATTCTATATTGCAAAGACTAAATTCTTAGGATTTATTGTGGGGCGAGACGGTATTTCCGTCGATTTAGAGAAGGTGGAAGTTATTAAAGGGTAGGCCGTCCCTTCTAATTTAAGAAGAGTCTAATCTTTTTTAAGATTTTGCAATTTTTACCGAAAGTTTATTTAAAATTATAATTACGTAGCGCGCCCCTTTACGAACTTAATACGAAAGAGAAAAGTATTTATATAAATAAATAAATATTAAGCCGCTTTCGAAGAATTTAAGAAACTATTCGTAGAGGCTCCGCTATTAAGGTATTTCTATTACGATACTGAAATAAAGGTAGAAATAAATACCAATAATAAAATACTAGTAAAAGTACTATTTTAACTATAGGAGGATACTAAAGAATAGTACCCGGTAGCCTTCTTTTCCGAAATTATATAAGGTATTAAATATAATTACCCTATTTATAATAAAGAACTATTCGTCGTTATTAGAGCCCTCCAAACGTAGCGACCCGAATTTATTAGCCTCCGATAGAATAAACTATTTACGATTATTATCGATTATTAAATATTTAAATACTTTAGTACTAAACGCTTCCTTAACCTTCAATAGGCTAGGTAGGTAAAATTCCTATCCTAATATTACTTTGAAATTACGTATCGGCCTAGTATAAAGAACGTAATAGCGGACGCGCTGTTTCGGAAATCCGAAGACTTCAAAACCTAAAAAAATAAAAAGGACGCGTACTATACGTTCTAAATATTTAAATTAATAGAAGAAGACGGATTTAAAATCTTTATCATCGTTTCTATTACGACCGCTTCTAGCCCGCTAGAAGAATTAATCCTAATTATAGCCCTAAATATAGATAAATTAAGCCCTATTAAACTAAAAGGATATAAGTTAGTAGATATTTTTATAAAGGCTAATTACCAAGACGAATTTTTGGGGGAATATTGTATTCGCGTTTATAATTTAAACCCTAATTTCGTAATACTAACTAACGGACTCTTAATATATTAAGATCGTTTAATTGTCCCCGAATTAAATATCTTATATATTCGTATTATCGATAAAGCTTATTGAATATTAACTATAGCCTACCTAAGGAAAAATAAGACCCAAACGATTTTTAAAATATAATACTAGTAGTTGTATATAGTTAGAAATATTAACCGTTTCGTTAAGAATTGTATAATATATAAGGCTAGTAAGGTCCCTAAGGATAAAGTACCGGGCTTACTTTATCCGATTCCCCCGCTAGCCCGGAAGTAGACGTTTATTATTATAGATTTTAAGAAAATACTAAGGGATAAATATAGTTTCGATAACGCGTTAATAATAATTGACTACCTATTAAAATTATTTTAGGTTACCACTTGTATAAAAAACGCTGTAATTTATAACGCCGCGCAAATATATTACGAAGGATTTTACTATATTTATAATATACTAAAAGAAATAATTTCTAATAAAGGACTATAATTTAC